ATGTATCGTCTTGTGAGTGAGGTTATCGGAGGCCCAATTACACTCCTCCCTTTCCCCAATTTCCCCAATCCCTGAATCCCCAACGATCCTCAAACTCCTAATCCCCAAAAGGCCGATAACGCACTTGTAACACCTAAAGTGTTCCAGGTGTCCATGGGCGACGCCGATTGCTTACCATCAGGTGAACCGCCTGTTCGTTTACTGGCTTATGACATAAAAAAAGTACAAGACCAGCTCTCAACATCTCTCAAATGATATATGTATACAAGATACCAACATCAACACTCTAGATTGTATGCGCGATTCCCACATAATATTAGCAGATAAAACCTTCGTAAAATTCTACCCAATCTGAAAGAAAGTCGGGCCAACAGACCCAACAGTAGGTAGTGGAATAAAAACATTATTTGGTATAATTCGCTACCTTGGAGGTGGCTGTAGCAATTAATACAATACGATTTGGCAGGCAGTCGCACCGCATTGCGACAAATGTTGGGCCGCACAGCCTAGTTGCCTACCTCATCAAAATATTTTGTATTCAATATACTCTTGTAATAAATGTTCTCTTGAAGACCTCTGCAGAGTCTGCAGATAGAAAGTAGACACAAGTTTGATAGATTTCCGATAGGGACAGCTTTGTGATTCAGGATCCGAGCAATTGCGCGTTAACATCTTAAAGTTACTAATACTCGCCTTTATTTAGACTGCTCCCAGCTGGGTGAGGAAGGAGGGAATGTTAGACTCTTACTGACTAAAATCCACTCCGTTCCTACTCCAGCCCTTCAAGCCAGAGCCCCGGCAACCTCTGTTCAAAATTTCATCTCGATCCCTTCAGCCGTTTTGACGTGAACGAGTAACAAACACACACACACACACACACACACACACACACACACACACACGCACACACACATACATCCTCACAAACTTTCTCATTTATAATATAACTAGCTTTTACCCGCGGCTTCGCTCGCGTCACAAAAGGATAAAACGTAGCCTATGTGACATATACCAATACACACAGCGCCATCTATACCAATACTTTTGTTTTCCCTCTGGAATATCAAATTTTTCTATAATAAAAAGTACCCTATTATTTTATCCGGACTTCTAACTTTACGTCTGCAAAAATTCAAAGCAATCGGTTCAGTAGTTATGGCGTGAAAGCGGAACAAACAAACAAACTCACTTTCTGATTTATAATATTATATAGTAAGGATAGTACGAAGTAAGACTACTCATTTCTGTCTGCGGCTGCCCGAATAAAGTCTTTATGATTTCAGGTTTACAATCTATCTCTGTGCCATTTTCCATCAATACGCGTCTAGCGATTTTCATGTAATCGGGTAAAAGACGTCCATCTAAAGTTTCGCATTATTATAGTGAACTTACGCTATGTTTTCCAGATTCAGTTTTCCTTGAACAAAAGCTGACGTTGAACATTTGAAACACAGCTGTTGACGAAAGTAGGCTTTCGCTGAAATTTTCAGCAGACGAACGTATCATATTTCAGTGCTACACAAGGAACATTTCAGTCAATATCGCCTTACATATATATCAGTGCGAGGCTCTATCTGAAAGTTTCAGGGAGTTGAGCGTTTATATTGTTCTCGAATCAAATAAAGGATTTTTTTCTGAATAGTTGTTACTGCATGTTTTCTTGTGTTAGTTTTTATTGTGAGTTAGTCATTTACTTTAAATGTCATACTAATAATGTTTTAAGAGTTCATTTTCAACTTAAACAGCCTAGGAATTCCTACGAGCTGCATCAATATAAGCGATGTTGAGGCAGCTCGTAGGAATTCCTGTTTAAGTTTGGTTTGCCATAATTCTTATACTCGACACATGCCCTAAACATCTCAGCCAATATTCACCAAAAAATTATAGAATGTTGCTGTCTGTCCCTCGAGGGAAATTCACAATAACTAGTGGAGTTCCTCGTCAAATAATTACGTGATAAGCCGATAACATAATAATTTATTTAGTATGTCTCACGAAAGTTATAATTATAAACGAATAATGGTATACTTTTTACTTGACTGCCTCGTTGGCCGAGTGCAGCAAGTGCGACTGCCAGGCAAGGGGTCTCGGGTTCGATTCCCGGGTCGGGCAAAGTACTACTGGGTTTTAAAAATTAATCTCAGTAGTAGCACGGCTCACTCCCTATTACATGGGACTCATAACATAAATAGTGAAAAGTGGGTGTTACATTGTACAGTGGTATAATGTGCTTCTCTGCCTACCCCTTCGGGGATAAAAGGCGTGATGTTATGTTTTTATTTGAAACCTCCAATAGATGTCCATCATTATCATTTGGGGCGAAAGATTGGAGAGGTCCTCTAAATAGACCAACTAATACAAAAAAGGTTGGTTAGTTCATCACGAGCTTCTTTTACTCTCGAGACAAATCCTTTAGGAATACGATTGAAATATGATTCTCTCTTAATTTCGTCATGAAGGAAGCCTGTCAACTGTTTACTAGAGCGGGGCCACAATAACTGGTGTTGTGTCGTTTAGTTTAAACGTTCGAGAAGATTTATCGATGGACCATGTACCGCACTGCGCCAGACGGGACCACGAGCTAGTGATGTTTCTTCGATATCGATATTATAACTACCAATTAACGAGTATCAAAAATGTTGGTCCCAGTACGACTCAATTGTCACATGGACCACCGTGATATTATAATTTGTTACCTATCTTTCTGTTTTTTCTTTTTTTTTTTTAAGAAAAACGTTGCCCCACACTAGGATTTTCTCCTGTGTCGTGGGTGCGTTTACAAACATACAAGTTCACATACACAATGACACCCAGACCCGAGACAACAATTTGTGGATCACACAAAATGTTGTCTCGTGCGGGAATCGAACCCGCGACACGTTGCACGACAGCCAGTTGCCCAGCCACCGCACTAACTGTGCAGTCGTTAGTTATATATCGTATCTGGTTAGTTATAGACTTCAAAGTCTGATAAGATACCTAAAAAACTCCAGTAGGGATTTTTTTGGGTGTTGTGTCAGCAGATAGACGCTGTTAGCAATAGGTCCATATAAAATACTGGTATTTAGTAGAATTTTGTTAGGAGTAATCTGGTGATAGGTAACTCCAATGGTCATTTTCACTCGTCTCCTATTACATAAGACTCTTACCCAATACAATTTAGTCCGATATTCGATGAATGTATAAATATATTGTACTTCTTAGTAGATATATGGTGCATACAGATACAGATAGAATTAAGACGAAGTTTACAACGAAGGATATAACCACAGAACCAACAAAGCTTTATCCAATTAAAGGCCTGTTTCACAATATCTGGATAGCCGTTATCTACTACATAAATTTGAATTAAGAACGTAATTTGTATGAAATCTGTCACATAAGTTTAACAGGTACTTATATAGAGGTGGTGAAACCGGCGCTAAGACTAAAAATATTAAAACAATCGACATTCGAAATTGTAACAGCGTCCATCACTAAAGCGCTCAGTCTGCGGCGCCCGCCCGGGACGCTCATTCACAAAATGGAATGTTATTATATTACGGAAGTTATTTTGCATGCCAGAAAGTATTATTTATGCTCACGCTTTTGTGCTTTTTGCGGGTGGACAGAGGTCGAGGCTTTTGCTCATATATTTTCGGTCTTAGTGTCAAATTTTGGCTGGTTGGTAAAGATTTAGTAGTTAGTATTTTAACGACACGCATTTCTGTAGTTTATTTTTTTAAACTATCATCACCTTAGCTCATGACAGTCCACTGTTAAAGTAAGTGCCTGCTGTAAACAAAAGGGTTTTTCATAATCTCCCTTTTTTATACCACGACTGTGGTAAAAAAGCACGCGGCCCACGGGCCCATTTGATGGTAAGCGGTTACCGTGGCCTATGTACGCCTGCAATACTTGAGGTATTACATGCGCCTTGCCGACCCTTACATACTTAGCAGGTGGTTTTTCTCTATCTTTATGGTCTTTGTCGGCTGTTATGACACCCGCATGAACAGTTGAAATCTATTCTGCTTCATTGCCATACTACTTTGACCTCAAATATTTTCCGTCTACAAAATTCCAAACAAAACAATAAAATTCATTTTCAGACCAAAACAGTTGCACTTGAAACCAGTAGGACCAGCCCGCACATCTCTATATTAAAAGAAATTAAAATCATAAATCTTTTACATAGTAAAATGCATTCGCTTGCCTCCATTGCATGTAGTAGTACCTAATCTCATCGTGTTCAACATATCCACCGCGCGGCGGTTGCACGAATCTCTAACAAATTCATTTCGCAGCTTTGCATAGAAATTGAGATTATATTACACGATCCAAGATGGCGGACAGATATACGCTACGTTCCGTTTTACATCTAATTGGATTCCCTATGCAAATGTTCCCGTGGTCGTGTTTATTAGTATAGTCGACACAGAAAGGCTTGTCGTACAGCGCTTTTAGTACGAAAATTATGGAAGATGAGATGGGTCAGGGCGAAATGTTATTAACGATATAGCCGTGAGCTGCTTAATTTATGAGCATTTATAACTATAGGGTTTAGGTTTAAATTGCTTTGGGTTTGTACAATTATAAATGGGTAAATTATTCTATAAGAATTCAACAAAGTTGTAAAATAAAAAACATGTAAAACACAATTTAAAACACTCATAATCCGCGTTGTTTAAACCACACACTCATATAAAAACGTATTTCATTACAGCTCTTACTAACAGCCGGCCCAACAATGTGCCATTGTGTTTTTAATCCCACATTCCAAAATATGGCTTCAGTATTACGCCCCTAAAATTCGGGGACGGCACTAAAAAGGTGCCGAGTATACATGTAGGCACCTATAATTTAACTATCCGTCTTTACACCTCGGTAATATCGTCGTAAAACGCGACAGAATGCCGAACAATCCACGCCTTACTATTCACCGCCCGCAAAGCCGTTGAATCTCGCCGATCCCTCATTAATATACGATTCTTTTCTTTTCAGGCGGGAAAAATCTAATAAGGGGACAATGGCCGGCTCCCGCGAGAGATTGCTCTATGAAAGGAGGCCTGATTACGAATATGAATACGAATTCAGACGGCGATATGAACCGTACGATAGAGAGACCAATCGATACAGGCAGGAGAGGCGACGTGATCTACACGACCGGCCGCGCCGCAAGAACGGCTATGTGTATGAAGATATATACTCCGACTTCGACGAGGCACAAGGTCGGCTCTCCCTGTTCAGACCTATTAGGCCCGAGTACTTGAACCTCCCCACGACTTACGACATCAAATACAATTCACTGCCACGAAACTATTACAACTATGAAGACAGAAACAATCGGAGGTACAAGAAGGACCATTACGACTTTAGAATCGAAAACGAGAGGCGAACGCGGGAATCTTATGAATCTTATAGGAAAGCTATCGAGACTAGACCAAAAGAGACTAATTCAAAGAAACCTTTACAACCAACCATAAATTTAACGAGTAATTCTACTAAAACTAACTTGAACGCTCCAACGAATTCTAGTTTGAAGCAACCGAAAAATGTTGCGGTGTGTAAACCTCACCGAATATCTGATAAGAGTGCTCGCTATTGGACAACGGACCCGCCCGAGCGGGGCCGAGCTCGTCCGAAAAAGCCCGAAGAGGTGAAAAAGAACGTGAAATTTTCTGAGGTGTCGGGCTGTAACAGAAAGATGGTGGTTGACGATCCTATTTGCGGGAGGAAATTAGTTCCAGTAAGAGAATTGGAAGTTTCCTTGGACCAAATGATACAGAACGGCTATTTTGAGAAGCACAACATTCCGATATCGAGGCCGGTGGGCGGGGAGGTGAAGGAAGAGATAAAGGGTGCGGCTGGCAACAGCCTGCCAAACGGGAAGTGCTTATCGGGCACCGGCGGGAAGGAACACCAGGCGACGAGAAAAATTAGACATCTGCCGCAGGTGAGTGCCAAGCTGCTCAATTAGTCAGTTATTGAGAACTCACTGATATTTTGTTGTTTATTTTTTTTAATACGAACGTCTGAAGTACTATGTTACTTGAAGTGTATGTTATGGGTTCATATAATTGATTGAAGTCATTACTATACACGACCTAACTTCCAGAGCTCGCTTATTCTGAAATACTGTCGAAGTTAAACGATTTATTATAGGTGTATTTTTAACTGTTTGCCCGAAACTTACTCTTACATTGAACCTTTACGACTTCTGTGACATGCCTCCGAGAAATGCCACGATTTCAAAACTGCACCTTGTATAGCTAGACAGACTACACATTTTTCAGAAACCAAGCAATAGGGTTTACCTTTATTGATAGACCTGAACTTTTTAAACTGCAATCTCAACCTGTTAGCCTAGTGGCGAGAATATGGCAAATCATACAGCATTATTTAGACTATCATGCTGGTTATTAATCTGATGTGAAGCCGCAGATTTAAACTAAAGTACAATACTGTGACGGTAAACAAAACAATATTTAGACCGCTTTGTCCGGTGCAACTACGCTCAACCAACAATGCTCATCTTTGCATTTGACATTTAGAGTGTCAAACTATTGTTCTCGCCTTATCAAGACCCTCTCAGCTCCACAGGATTTTAACAATAATCTTAAATCTAGGATTTAAACGTAGACTGTTAAAAATCCCTCGTGTACAACATAAAATCATGATTCATGACAGATTGAGGTAAATTTTGTATTATAATAAGTATATACTAGGTACAAG